ATTAAAAGGAACATTTTACTTTACATGTTAAAAATCCTTTAAAAAAGCACCGAAACTGAAGAGAATCTTTCACAATCATATTAAATATCAATACTAATACCACTCTGCAGTTGGTACCCACTTTGAAACTACCATGCCATATCCATTTCCGTAGTTTAATGCTCCAACTCAAGTTGGTACTTTATAATTGACTCGCGAACATCATACGCGGTATTACACGGCGAAACATTTTACAGCTCAGTAAACTGCGTAATTCAAACCCAAACTTATTGAATAGGAAAGCAGGGATCCAATAAAAAACCTGTCAAAGGCAGGTATCGCGACAGGTGGGCCGATGCGATGCCATGTAATCTGCGCTTTGGACTCGCCTGTCGCGCGTGTGACATGGGGCTTACGTTAGACAAAGACGCTCTTTGATATGCTTTTTAGTTTACTCAATGGCGTAACTGTGTTCTGACTGCAAAATCTGAGACCACTAGTCAGTCAGCAGTCTGACATTATAGGTCGCGAGCGTCTGGCAGCTCTGGCAAGGCTGAAACAACCTTTCTTCTTGAATTCCACTTGAGATAAACATAATGTAAAGAATATAGCATTAAGCAACAATACTCATTGGAATCCGAGAAGTAAAATTAAATGATGATTCCTTCCTTCGAAACGAAAGACACTCCAAGGAGTGTCGGTCCGCCAAAGCCTTGACAGAGATCCTATGGCGGCTCATGTCTGAGACAGGACAGACACCACATGAAAATTGAAAAACCAATTACCAATTTTCTTTATCTCGAGGAAAGTTCAATAAAATCTTGTTATCACAAACACAGCAACAGCTTATACCTATGTGTACTTAGTTACCGGATGCCTAAATGTAGGGGAAAGTAGTACGAGTTGATCCCCTGGGGTAAGATGATCTTTCGCGATTGTGCTGAAACCACTAACGTCATTTAGTTTCTTTCACTGGTAAAACATAGCTCTGGACACATCCCCGCCTCAGTCAAATCGTAATGGCGGCGTGAGCGATACATCGAATTTGACGAGAAAAAAGAAAAATTGTATACTTATGATCTAAAATAGGCATGACTTTGAGCTTATGTTACTTTTATTCAAACAATGTTAAATGTAATTAATGTTGTCGTTAGGCTTTCTATTATGTTTAATTTTAATATTATGGCCATAAAAACGTAGCCGCGTACTTGTAGATTATTTTAGCAAATATTTAACAAAAAGTGGGACTAGGGTCAAGATGATCCCTTCCTATATGTACGAGATGATCCCTGGGAATTAAAACAAAAAAGTCAATGGAGTAGGTAAAGGGAAGTGAAATAAAAGAAAGAGAACTTCATATAACTCACCTGAGTCTGAAGGAGATGATACTGAGTGGCTGTACTGAACAGAAAAGTTTTCAAGCGATACCAAGGGTGAAGGATGGATAAAATGTTATGCATGTGGAAAATGGGGCCATAAAGCAGCATGCTGGGGTAGAGGGTGATGAAGCAGGTGAATTTATTTGTGATATATTCAACACAGCTCCAGCCAAAAAGCGTTTCAATTATTTGAACGCTTTTTAGCAGGTACTAAGAAAGAATCAGTTATTTTCGTTATTTAATTCGTAAATGTTTTTCTTTTCTAACTTTTTAACGATTTGTTCGCATAATTAGGTACTCCTAAAGGAATATAACCAGAAAAGAATCGATCATAGAACAGAATCATAGGGATCATCTTACCCCTACCTGGGGATCATCTTACCCACAGGTGACAGGGGTGTACAAGATGATCACTTTGTAAGGTTTTGCAAAAAATGAAATATTTTAATGAAACCTTAATTAATTTCTGGTTTTGAGTATAAGGAAAGTTGGATAGATAAATATACTAGTAGTAATCGTCTTTATTTTTGGTTTACCTTGAAAAATATGTATTTTACAGCGATTCCCGCTTAAGGGGATCATCTCGTACTACTTTCCCCTAGGTAGGCAAACAAATTGCTAAAAAACGGTGGCGTGGCGACATACAATTTAGATACATTTTTAATGTTAATTCTAGCAATGGTGGATTCTTATTGTAGGTTGGTAAACAATTGATCATAAGGTTCTGCAAAAGTGTTATTTGTAGGTACTGAATACTGAAACTCACGGCCCACGGAGTCTATAGAACAATATGTATAAAAAAAACTTTACCTAACTGCCTAGGACCTACGTAATCGATACAAAAATTGTGTCAAATTACGGGCAAACACTGGTTACAAACTAGTTCATTAAATAAAGTTTGTGTTGATTAGTTGCCTACAGTAGGTACTCACCGAACGAAGCAACTTGTGATACAAAGATATTGTCCAAAGATATTTATTTCGAAATAATTGCACTATTGCTATAAGTACCAAATAAAATCCATAGTAATTTTATACAATCCACTTTTTCATCAGCCTAAATAACTATCCACTGCTGCACAATATTTAATTTTACATTAATTTGTCTTACCAATAAAAATAATTAAGTACCTTGGCGACATTTTTAATTCTACCTCCGTTTTTTTTTTCAATTTCTTAGACAGTCGCAATCCTAGAGGGCGTCCTGCATTAGGATTATGAAGGGATTATTTATTATGATATGATGTTCAGTATCAAGTATGTCTATAATATTTTGCACCTACGTAGTACTGCCTCCACTCCATTTCTGTTTACTGATATTGATTTTAATAAAATAACTTTTAAAAAAAATAAAACCGACTTCATATGCTAAAAATTGTAAATATTGCGTATTAAAAAGTTCATCCCCAATTTTCCACCCNCTAGGAAATGATAAGCCTGTACCTGTCTATTAAGATTTAAACGATGAAACCAAGTGCCATACATGTATTTTGAAGATTCAAATGAAATCTACATTTTAAAAATATGTATGGCTTCCTTCACTGAGCAAAGTAAGTTTATCCAGACTGTGTTTAATTCGCACTATTTGATGTGTGTAATTTCTTTTCCCCCTTTTTCATATTAGGATTACTGATATATCATTAGCTAAAAAGACTATTGAAAATTAAGATTCTAAGTTGATTTGTTGAATTTATGAATATTTTTCATGATAACTTTGTGAATCATGATTTCATGAGATTTTTGCCAAAAAATGCTACATGTTTTCTAAATATTGAAACAACACGTACTTATTAACAAATAATTTACATAAAAATCGTTTTATTGTATTTAAATATAACCACTATTAATAATTATTAAACATAAAACCCTAAAAAGATTATATATTTTTAAATATAAGCACACATATGAACGGGCCTCTCAGGCCCCCACGTCAGTGTTTACGTGAAATTAAATCCACCTCAGTAGCTAAAGGTTAAACTAGCTTTCCGCCCGGGGCTTTTCGCCCGCGTGGAATTTTGTCTGTCACAGAAAAACTTTATCGCGCGCGTCCCTGTTTCAAAAACCGGGATAAAAACTATCCTATGTCCTTTCCCCGGACTCAAACTATCTCTATGCCAAATTTCAACAAAATCGGTTCGGTGGTTTAGGCGTGAAAGTTACTTTCGCATTTATAATATTAGTAAGTAACTACCTATAGATAAAATAGAAGTTGGATTGTCTCGGACCATAAAAAAAATATAACCTTGTTGTAAGCGCTTCTTTCGTGTCCTGACCACACCTTTCCACAACTGAATTTTTACTAAAACGCTTAACTCTGAAACAGAAAAAGATATGTAAAAACATAATTAACTTTTTAAAAAAATAAAACCGACTTCATATGCTAAAAATTGTAAATATTGCGTATCAAAAAGTTCATCCCCAATTTTCCACCCTTGGGGGTGAAATATTTTCTTCAAATTCGCATGAAACCACCCTTTTGATAATACCTATTCAACAAAAAAATAATCGTTCAAATTGATTTATAATCGGCGGAGATATTGCGTATAAAAAAGTTCATCCCCAATTTTCCACCCTTGGGGGTTGTTTTTTCTATTATTAAATTTAAATGGGACCACCCTTGAGGTANGGAAAATAATATTTTGTTATTGTAATAATTGTAATTTTGAATACCTCTACTAGGTAGGTACATAAAAGTATGTGTAATGAAAGTGATTATTTTTAATAAAGTTTTCGTGTCAAAATAGTATACATTATTAAATTGTTTCCTTTTCCATTTCCTTCTACAATTTTAGCCAAGGGCCTGCGGTTACACTTAAGTTTAGCCGGCTAAAGATAGAAGAAACTAACATTAACACCTCGTCGAAGATAAACTTAAGTTTAGCCGGCTAATCTTAAGTTTATGTTCACACCTATCCTTAGCCGTAACAGATACAAAAATTGTGTCAAATTACGGGCAAACACTGGTTACAAACTGGTTCATTAAATAAAGTTTGTGTTGATTAGTTGCCTACAGTAGGTACTCACCGAACGATGCAACGGAGGAGCTATCGAGAGACGCACGGACAACGGAGCGGCGAACGTTTGCAAACAAACTAGCAAGTTCTGTTCGCGAGCGAACATGACCAGCATTTTGTTACTCACTTCAACAATTTCGAAATAATTGCACTATTGCTGTAAATACCAAATAAAATCCATAGTAATTTTATACAATCCACTTTTTCATCAGCCTAAATAACTATCCACTGCTGCACAATATTTAATTTTACATAATTTGTCTTACCAATAAAAATAATTAAGTACCTTGGCGACATTTTTAATTCTACCTCCGTTTTTTTTTTCAGAGTTTCTTAGACAGTCGCAATCAGTCGCAATCCTAGAGGGCGTCCTGCATTAGGATTATGAAGGGATTATTTATTATATTTTGTACCTACGTAGTACTGCCACAGAATAATAATAAGTATTTGGTACTGCCTCCACTCCATTTTTGTTTACTGATATTGATTTTAATAAAATAAAACCAGGCCGTTTTATTATGTAAAAAAAGGTCTTGAACCTAAAGCTAACAAATTTCTTAAAAAGTTAATAACTGTCACTGTCATTACTGTCAAGTGTCAAATCAATGACAGCTGTGCGTTACGTGCGTGTTTGTTTGCTGGATTTGTAAAACAGAAAAACCAATAAATACTGTTGGTGTGGTTACTGATGCCGGGTGAAAGAAAGGTTTTCTTATAAAAGTGCATTAATAATTAATTTAACAAGATGATGGAACACATAAGACAACACGATTGGTATGTTTGTCGCCGTTGCCGGAAATTCAAATTCAAATTCAAAATATTTATTGCTTACTAAGTGACAATTTGTAATGCTGTAATTTACATAATATACAGGAGCTTAAAAACTTAGTTACCTGAGTGGTATCGCAATAGAGTAGGTGGCCATTTAAACATTAATGGTAGTATTATTAATATTAATTAACTATAATAAGTAATATTATTATTATTAAACAACTTATAAAATAACTACAATCTAAGTAGGATTAAGGTTGATAACTTATTGACTAAAGTAGTTGGTTGCTAACCCGCAGTGCTTGCGAAATCTGCTTTACTGTTTACAATTTAACCTCCCTTTTATTTAACTCATGCTTTATTTTATGAATCTTTTCAGTCTTTACACTCTTGACACAGAAAGAGAGAATTGCGTATGAATTGTGGGCGGATGTTGCTTGCCTTAAAACGTCATTCTTTTCCAAATTATATTTACTTNATTTATTACTTACAGGTGCGACTCGGAGCCAGATAATTACTTTGTATTGGAGTCTGACATTGACAAATACAGTGTGATCAACAAGATCTTGGCCAACAAGTTCCACGACCCTCTGTTGGCGTCCAGCGAATCAGAAGATGAAGGAAATCAAAGGCCCATTCATTGGGATAAAATATTCAAAGAAAAAAAAGTAAGTACTAAAGAACTACTCACTGTACCATCACCAAACCTACATCAGTACATGCAAAATCTATAAACTACCACTAGGCAATCTTTACTAAACATTAGTCTTCAAAATATGTCTGTAAATATTTGTTTTTACAGTTAGTACATTTCCTTTTCTCCAAATGATCTGCATGACGAAATAAGACATATAACTTGAGAATTTAAATGTTTCAACATATTTTTATAGAAACAATGCATTCCTTTAATTTTTTTAGGAGAATGAGCAAGGAATTGGAAACCGGCCAGTTGTTCCTGGTTTTTCACCGTTCCCACCGTATCCAAAACTGTCTGCGCTAACCATCCAACAGCATCAGCAGTTGCTCCGAGTGCTGTGTGGCCAGAACCTCGACGTTATGCCAATGGAGTTCATCGGCAGGGCCAAAAAATGTGATTATAAAGCTTTTGAGGTATGTGTACTTTTTATTGTTGCTATGATTCCAAATTCATGAATTTATCTTTGTTATTTTTATGTCACAAAAACAATATTTAGAGGAGAGCTTGTGGTGTTAGTATTTTTTACTTGGTTCCTTCCTATAGAAATCTATCTATCTATGAAAAAAATACCTTTGTCCAAAAGCTGATATCTTCCAGTTAAATGATTGCAATTATATTATTGGCAGAAATTGAATGAAGTTGTAGAAAATATATAAAAACCATAAAGAATAAATATTATTTAACAAAAACCTATACAATAGTATAGGATGCCTTTTGACTAAAATTAGGTTCATTCATGAATTTAACTAACCATTTAAGGAGCTGAAAGAAACATATGAGAAGGAGCAAAAAGAGTTCATAGAATGGGGCAAAACAATGTGGACTACCCATTGCTGCCGAGTCCTGCGTCCCAAGCCAATTGTGGAGATGGTTTACGACTCAGATTTCAAGGTGGCTGCGCACCGTTTTGAGAGCTTCCCCAAAAACTTCCATGTGGCCGCACAGATACCATTAGAGGATTCGAAAATTACTTGCGAAATGGCACAAGTTGATTCACTGATCAAAGTAAGTGGAGTTTTATCTTATGGTTATTATAAACAAGGACCTATTTCAAGCTAAATGAATCAAATTACATAACCCTCATGAATTTGAGCCTAACCCCCTTATTAATAAAAGTTACACCCTAATTGAAATCTGGCTTAAATTTTCATTAAGTATGGAGATGTCATTTTAATCCAGGGTTCATCCTAGGTGTAACTTTTTATTAATAAGGGGGCTAGAGTCCATATCTTTCAACAATATTCTTCAAAATACTATTATGTAAACTTGAAACGGTTGAAATCCAGAAAGAAGTCATAATTTCATATCTGAAATGTTTTCCAGGTAAGCACAACCTCGCTGCCACAGATAAAAGAGCCGGACCTGTCTCGCGAGCGGCTGTACATAACAGCAGCCGACTATCCCGCGCCCGAGCCCTGCAGCAAACACCCCTGCCGCTTCATGCTGCCAAGTTTGTATTAAAATTATTCTATACTCTATGGTCTGTCTGTTTCACAACTGCAACTGCGGTCGATTGTAGTCAGTTGCTAGCACAGATTACCGCTACACGTGCTATCTGGAGTTGCTTTTCTGCAGGCCGCTTCGAAACAACACTTTTGACAAAATACTAATAATCTTAAAAAAGAAAATTCTTAATTTTCTTTTTTGTTATTTCACAAATTACTAATACTCCCGTTGCCCCTCGTACTAAGCTAAATATGCTTCACGAGTGAGCGAGTCGACCAGTCCGACCCCGTTACCGTTCGGCTATCGTGGCATTATATGATTTTAATGTGGAATTATTTTCTGAGTATTAGGTACATCACTTCATGAATACAGTGTGAGTCACGTTAAAGTGTACATATGAAAATAGATAAAACTAGACCTTTTTTTATCGACAAAAAAGAGGTCAAAAAATTTTGGAGAGATTTTTTTATTTTTTATAGAATTTTTTTTCTTCCAATTACTTATTGTAAAGCATATGTAATAACTTTTAAACTAAGCGGTATATCCTGATAAAATAAAAACAGTTATAATGATAAATAACAGGCGATACTACAAAAATACATACAAGAAATTTATCAAATAACCAAAAAAACACGAATTTAAAAGCATTTTTTTTTTCAAAAAGTATCATTTTTTATTATTTGTTGGCATTTTTTTGTGTATTTTATGTATTTTTTTAGTATCGCCTGTTATTAAGCATTATTACTGTTTTTATTTTATTAAGATATACGGCTTACTTTAAAAGTTATTACGTTTTCTTTACAATAAGTAATTGGAAGAAAAAAAATTCTATAAAAAATTAAAAAAAAAACTCAAATATTTTTTGACCTCTTTTTTGTCGATAAAAATAGGTCTAGCTTCATCTATTTTCATATGTACACTTTAACGTGACTCACACTGTAATCTCATGCTAACTTAAAAAATATCTTGCAGAGGAGAACTCCCTGACGATACTGCCGCTAACTGAAGTGCAGCGGGAGTTAGCAGAATATGCAGTGGAGAATGGAGCGCACTGCATCGCCAGCGAAGAAGCGCTGCGATGTCTCATGGAGCTGGATAGGCACTGGTCGCTGGGCCTGTCTGTGTGCTCGGTTATGTCTATCGGTGAGTGTACTTCTTAGAACAAAGGTGACTGACTGACTGACATAGTGATCTATCAACGCACAGCCCAAGCTGAACGGATCGGGCTGAAATTTGGCATGCAGGTAGATATGACGTTGGCATCCGCTAAGAAAGGATTTTACGAAACTCCACCCCTAAGGGGGTATAACGGGATCCACGCGTACGAAGTCGCGGGCGGCCGCTAGTTATACTATAAGAGCGCTTTCACATTTAGGCGACTTTAGCAGCGCGACGGACGCGCTGCCGGTAATTTCATACTATGTGACAGCGGATGACTGCCTTCACATTATAAAAACGCCGCTGCCGCGCTGCTGTCGCGCTTCTCACGCTTTAATGTGAAAGCGGCCTAAGAATACCTAAGCACACTTACCTATCTTATAATTGCCTATGAACCTTGACGGCACCTTTATGTGACAGTGGTCACCGCGCACAAGCCCTCTACGAAAGCTTAGCCTCCGAAATTTAATTAAGGAGATAAAAAATGCGATATTTTTATTAAGTACTTACAGCTTGACGCTTCGGCAGTGTTGCCGCCATTAGCGTATCTAGGGTACTTTTCCAGGGGGCGTGGTCCCTGACATGCCATGTGACGGGCATTAGTATCATAGCTCATTAGTTAGTACCACCCCTGTTATACAGGGTGGAATTTTGTAATGCCACCTGGAGGGTATACTGTAGATAGAAAATTTTGGTCAAAGAAAACATTCCTTTATTTTAAAAAAGGAATAGAACTGCATTCAAAGATTTCCAAAAATTTGCTTGCCACACCTGGGAATCGAACCAACTAAAATCTGTTAAAAATTATTTCCTGTATTTTATTGCATCGATCGTTAGGGTTAAGTATAAACGTATAAAGATGAAATCTCTCTAACAAACTTGATAAATCAAATGAAAGGAAAACCATGAAATGTTACATTATTGTAATTATTTACGGAAAATTGTGTGGTGATTTTCGAAAAAAAATCGGAAATCTTTGAATCAGTTCTCTTTCTTTACAAAAATAAAGGAATGTTTCTTTTGAGTAAAATTTTCTATCTACAGTATTAAGAGTACTTTCCCTCCAGGTGGCATTTCAAAATTCCACCCTGTATACGCGCATAGTTGCAGCAGCCGTGGTCACAAGCAAACTGATGGTCTAATTAAGTTTCGTATGAAGACCACCCGGCAAAGTTCCGAATCAACTTTCCTTGTAATCCAGTGGCCGCTAAAACTGTCTACGACGAATGGAATAATAAACTTGTTATCGTGATATTTTATAGATGGCGATGGCATAACTACAGTGGTGATAGACAGTGAGTTCTCACTTCAAAGGGAGCCGGCGCTAGTCCGCACGCAGAAAGCCTTCCGGAAACTTCTGGAGTACACTCTTATTCCGTAAGTATTTTCAAAGTAACAGTTCTTTTTCATATTTATTTATTTATTTATTTATTTATATGGCATACCAACAACATATATATTATACTCTTATGATTAACATTCCATTCCATTGTATATCAATTTTATAACTTATAGCTTTTCATTTATTCATAAAAATTTTGAACTGGTGTCACACCCAGACATTTAAAGTATTTGCTTATGTGATCGTGACTACAACAGCAATTTGAGACTATTTTTGCTTTTGTTGTGGGCATACGTCAAATATTTTATGAAAACCATTTTTTTTAACCACGCACCCTATGCCCACAACAATAAGACTAATTTGCTTAAAGCTACTTGACTAGCTTCAAGCAAGTTAGTCTCAATATTACTAACATATGTACTAACCTTTGTTTTTTTTGTAAATAAGCTTTACTAACGGCTTGAATACACCTAATCCGCTGCCGGCCTAATAAATAATTAGTGCCGTCACACACTGTCGAGCTTTGTAATTTTTTTTAAAGATTATTAGTAATTTGATTTTTTTTTTTGCACAAATTACTAATACTCGCGTTAGCCCCTCGTGGTAAGCTAAATATGCTTGTGTTACGAGTTGGCTCACCACAATAGTCGAGCGGTGGGCTTCGAACCCGCGTTCCTCGGATCTCGAATGGGCCGGTCCGACCCCTTCACCGTTCGGCTTCAAAAAATCTTAGTCTATGTAAACATATAATGGTGTTTATTTTTCAACTAGTTTTCATTGAACCGACCGTGTGTGACCTGACCAGACTTAGACTGGTACAAATCACAATTTTGGCATCACCTTGGTGCAAACTACAGTAGACTAACCTAGCTTTACAGTAGTAGCGCCGTTTCATAAGTTTGGCACTTCATTTACTGACACAAATAAATTAAAATATCATATCTATTTATTATATGTTTTCTTAGCTGAATTTGATAAAATAGACATAGAAAAATAGCAAAATCCAAACCCATATTTAATCTGCTTGCATAACAGCATAATTTAATCAATTTATCATATTAGCGAGTGCTTGCGCTTGCGATTATTAACCATGATTAGTGAAGAATAATTTTGCTAGATATACTCAAACCTGTGAAGGACAAAAGCGAAAGTTCCGTATACACCTTTACCGCCATGTTTTACAACGCCTCANCGCTCAGGTTTGAATAGGCCTTTAGAGTGCTTACAGGGGCAACGCACTTGAACCCCGCAACGAATTTCAACAGAAAAATAAAGAAAGAGCTTCAAATATAACATCAGCTGCCACTAGATCAGCATGATAAATAATTTTCACTGGAACAGCTGCGATTAAATTGTGAAAAAAAAAGTTTAAAACGAATACCAAGTGCCTAATTTTGGCTTTACAAAATACGAAAAAAAACAGACGTTTGGCTAATTAAATTAATACCTACTTATTTGCTGAAAATGTTAACCACGCGTTTAACAAATTATTTTTCGCGTAGAACAAATGGCCTGGTTGCCGTTACGTCTACTGTAGCGTGCCTGGGGTTAAAGAACAAGTGAGTTTCGTTCAATCGGCGAAAATATGCCGAATACAAATTGGCCGACGGATTAGGTGTATCCACCGTTATACTCATGCACGTGACGTAATTTGTGCTGCTTTGGAATACCTGGCCAAGGGCGAAGTTAAAAAAGAACAAGAAAAGAAAACATAAAAAACGGTAAGTCGCAACGGAGCTTGAATGACGAATGAAAGTTTATGTACTTATGTGGCATCAACGTTTTTCAAATTCATCCGGTTGACAGGACCATATTTGGGATGAAAATGGGTGTCATCTTCAACGGTTTTTAAAGAAAAGGAAGGTTATATTTTAATTTGGAAACATGGAAGTTAGTATTTGCATAAACACCACTGGTCTATTCTTATCCAACCGCACCTACTACTCGTGAATTGTTGCTATAGGGCACCCCACACGACGCATGCCAAAACTTGATCCTGGACCAACTGGACCAACTCACAGTTTAAAGTTATTGATTCGCTACAAATGTGACTACCTCATGTGTATCAATTCGAAGTAGCTAAGTGATTAAAGATGCTATGCGATCACGAAGAGAGCTATGCTCTCTCTCTCAAGATACAATATTAATATAGTTCTTCAATGTGTCCCCAGGTCGGAAGACAAGCAGTCGAGCAGCAAATGTGACGCGAGCCCGAGCGCTGCAAAGAAGAGTGGAGGATTTGGCTTCAACGATATGGATCTCAGTGATGAAGACGAGGACCAACTCATCATCGACACAGGTTTGAACACTGATCTATTCTAGAAGATAGATAGTAGTTCAGTGTAGCTCAAGCATGAGACAAGAAAATTACTGACGTACATGACAGTTTACATTACCTTATTGTTTCGTAATTCACGATCAAAAAAGGATGAACTTTAAAAGATTGATGATCTTTTCAAGACCGGACCAGTACCTGCTACTTCACAAACTAACGATTCTCAATATTTTTTTGGATGTAATCTTTCAGGTGATCTTCAAATCAATGATGAAGAACCTCAAACCAAACCAGCCATTCAAACAAGATCTTCTCAAAAGAACACTGAAACGGAGGCTGACAAAACGAAAGAAACAGACAAAGGAGAAACAAATGACAACAAAATTGACTTCTATAACTGCACGTGTCGAGGTAAATGAATCTAACATTGCATTAAACAAAAAAGATCCGAAAATCACTTTCATAAAGTGCATATTGCGTCAACATAATATTATCGTTGCGTATGCATGCACCTTATGACAACGATATAACGGTTTGCTCTTTACTGTAACTTCTATATCCTAGTAGACACTTAGCCTCTTATACAAACGGCAAAATTCATATCTGAACATTAAAGATGCAATAGATATAAGATCTAATTGCATGTTGTATGTCCTTTATGTATAGGGCTATAGTAATACAATTATGTTTTTCAGAGCCATTGGACACTCCGCCATCTAGGTCATACACGAAGTGGAAAGTTATAAATACGGCTTCAAACGACGCATACAGCTTTATCGCTCATACGCCACATACAGCCAAGGTAATTATATACTTAAATTGACTGAGGATAAGCAATTGACCAAATTCGAAACTGTAAGAAATGCGAAAGGGCAATTTTGTAAAAACTATCGCGTTGAGACCCGTGATTCTCTATTTTCAACCGACTTCAAAAAAGGAGGAGGTTCTCAATTCGACCCGTATGTTTTTTTTTAATTGATATGGAACGCGAAAGTTTAAAACCATCGTCATGTGCGAATGCGGCGCAGATACAACCCGTAGATCCTCTTAGATTAGTTTTAGAGTCCTTGACGCACGCTGACCATCGGCGCTAACAGCCGAATTGTATGAAGCGTCGGTGCCGAGCGATCAGCGTCATACAGGAACGTCCATCATCATCCTTTAAATATATAGATCAATATCAGCGCTGACGATCAGCGAGCGGTCAGCGCGATTCTAAAACCCGCCTTAGCCTCTCGACTGTGAACTAGCAACAATACATTATGTTATACCAGAGTAAAAACAAATGAGTAGGTCATCTTCATAGAAACGCACCGAGCGCGGTTTGTATGTGAGCGCGCCAATATACGTATGCGGCGCGCACGTACACACTGACAAAATTCGGCGCAACTACGACTGTTGGCGCGCTTACATACAAACCGCGCCGGTGCGTTTCTATGAAGATGACCTACTTATTTGTATTTACTCTGGTTATGCTGACCTAAAACACGGCGTGTTTGCAGTTTGATTCAGGAGGAGAGGTGGCGGTAGAACCGATATCAGAGTACCAGGTAGACCTGGGAGTGCGAGAGTTATCGCCGCACACCCTGCGAAGCCAGGCTCTCGTGCTTATGCTGAGGAAGAACGCGTCCATATTGAACGGTGAGCACTTGTAATACAGGGTGTGAGGTCAGCAGCTCAGCAAAAAAAGACGAGTTTGAGATAAAATGAAGCAAACAATCCAATGTTATTAAACATACCTTGTTGAACATGTCAGAAACACTTTTTTGGATTACAATCTAGATTAAAACTGTATTTATTGTTGGTTGTAAATGTACCTTGTTGATTGTACTCTGTATATGTTTTTTGTACAAATAAAATAAAACACTGTTAGCCACTGGTGTGATACAAAAAGTCAGGGAGGAAAACCCGACTTATTTTTATATAGTAGATTTAAACTCCTTCGATAACCTACTGAAGACCGCTGGATCGACTTGAATGCAGGCGGCACAGGACCAGTCGTAGCAATCCTTGGGCAAGACCTTTATCCAAAACACTTGTTGATTGAAAGGAAAGTGAAATAACATAATTTTTGTTTATCCTCAGTGAGAATAGACGCGCCGACGGGTGAGGTGGTGAAGACAGAAATCGTCCACTACGAGGAGTTCGTGAAGAAACACATGGACGTCATTTATGACGTTCACAATCGCCTCTACACGCTACTGGATCAGCTACAGGGTCTGCTGCCAGGACATTATGTGCTGCGGCACGAGGTCAGTACAATGCTCTCATCAGGTCATATAGGCCTGCCGGGCTAGGGTGCGCGCCGTGATAAAATCTTATCGATGATTTGACATGACAAATGTATGGGCTTGTCGGATAAAATAGATAAAATGGTACGATAAAAAATTATCGCGGCGCGCATTCTAGGCCTACAGGTTAAAACACCCGCGATAATCGTGCGGTTTCTGTGTTTCCCCTGTGCAGCCAAGGCCTAAACATATTCATCCAGGTCTCCAGCGCGTGTTTTTCCCTACACAATCAACAAAAACATGTCAACATTCAACAAAATTATCGACACAAAACATTGTTTCGCTACTTACGTGTTTTCCATCGGGCTTGGAAAGCAAAAACATTGTTGATACAAACAAAAATTTCTAGTGAAACAATGTTTCTTATTGAAAGAAACTTTCTTGAATTCTTGAAAGTGGACATGTTTTTGTTGATTGTGTAGGGCAAAACACGCGCTTTAGACTGGTTTTAGGGCTAAAAGTGCTTTTTCGTTCTCTGTACCTGTGTACCCAAAGCTTAATCCTGTCCGTTTGTCTTTTCAGCCAGCGCATGGCAACAACGCGATTCTCTACACAACGCTAGGAGGTCGCGGGAAGGCGGCTGCATTGACGATGCACTTCGACGCCGCGCTGCCCCTCGAAGCAGACGAGACCGTCAGCCTGCGTCAACCGCCCACGCTGACAACCGGCCTGCTGCCTATACACAAGTGAGGACACTATTGATACCAGTCTGTGCATGGCAATAACGCGATCCTTTAATTAAACGACGCTGGGAAGGTGCGAGACAATTCACTTCGACGCCGCGCTACCACTTGAAGCAGACGAGACCGTCAGCCTGCGTCAACCGCCCACGCTGACAACTGGCCTGCTGCCTATACACAAGTGAGGATAATTTATTTGATAGAAATCAGCTGACAGCAACGCAATTATCTACATGACACTGGTGGGTAAGGACCGTTTTCCATCAAGGCGGAGCGGAATGGAGAAATGTTTTGAACAAACAAACAGATGTCATTCATATTGAATGAAATTAACAGAATGAAATCTGATTGGGTATTCAAAATATTTCTCCGCTTCGCCCTGCCTTAGTGGAAACCAGGCCATACGGTCTGCTCTAAGCCGCTACTCAGCTTTGCTGATCAGAGGAGTACCGAGAACGATCCTCCAAAGAATGGGCCCGGGCAAACTCCTTGCCAGCCCCGGTCTGTGGGGGTTTTTAAAGATGTCCCCAGGAAAATGTCCCGACAGCCTCCAGTCCACTCAATCATGGATTACGGGTTGCCCGACAGGCCCTCCCGAGTTGACGAAACCTGCCGCGCACTGGGTTTTTGTCCGCGCCAGTAGACCGGTACCTCCCTCGAATGGGGGGCGTTCTCCTATCCGCAACCCGGGGACGCGTCTGATGGCAGACCCTAAACTGCACATGGAAACACTCCAAAACTAAGGCGGTGTTTGTCGGTCTTCCCGGGCTTCGAACTCCTGTTCTCAATGACAGACCCCCGGGACAAACTTGACCTTCACTGGTTGGGTTTTTATTGGCGGTCAAGCTGAAGATCCTGGCTACAAAGGAGTTGCAGCGGCTACTCAGTGTTCAGCGTTATGTTACTAATGCCCGTTTTCACCATCAACCCCTAATTTTAAGTGACCTCTATGAAAACAAATCCTGATATGTTTTTTTATCCACAACGAGAAAGCTCTTGGCCCGTATCTCACCTGATGGTAAGTGATGATCAGGCCGAAGGTGGAAGCGAGCTCCACCTGGAATCCTCAACCACAGAGGAACTGGCTATCTTACCTCTAACTGCCCGAACACAACAATGCTGTTAACATTGTTGTTATGGCGACAGATTTAGGTAAGATGGTGTTGGCTAGCCAGGCGGACTTGGAACAAGCCCTATCACCAACCAAACCGAACAGAAAATTCTGCCCCCACTGGGAATTGAACCCGGGACCTCTGCGTCTGAAGTAGGTGGTCTAACCACTAGACCACAGAGGCGGTTAACATGTGTTACCATAGAGGTCACTTAAAATGAGGGATTGATGTTGAAAGCGGGCATAACTGTCGCCCGTTTGGTGTAGTGGTTCAGAACGGACTATGCCGAGAGGTCCCGGGTTCGATTCCCGGCCGGGCAGAAATTGAAATGATGAATTTTAATTTCTGTGACGGGTCTGGGTGTGACTATGTATAATATTTATGTATTTAAAAAAAAGTATATAAGTAGTATATCCGTTAAGCTAGCACCCATAACACAAGCATTAAGTTGCTTACTTTGGGGCTAGCTGGCGCTGTGCGAAATTGTCCAAAGATTATTTATTTATTTATTTATTTAACTTACCGTCATATCACACTCCGCAGGGTGCGTCGCATGCTTCCGTGCGCGTTCACACCACATCCGCACCAATTACCGCGCGCGCCGCGACGTCCGCCGGCGCGCGCGCGCCCACCGCCACATGCCATCAAGGTACGCTTGTTGCTTGACTACCCTCACCCCTTCAGTGCTTCGAAAGGAGCGCGGACTTATGAATCGGTATCCGTCAAGTTTTTCACCTGGCAGAAATACTAATCAAAAGTCTGAATTAACTAAGATTTATATACGTCATTCAGACATGACCTCTTTGCCATTCTATAGCTTTGAGATAATCATGCGCATCACTAAAATGATATTAATTTATATTGTAATACTTTAAAATTCATTTTATTTACCTTTTAGTTACCTTTCATTGATTTCTATTGAAATGTCTTCTACAGGTTGTCCCAAAAAGTAGTGTCAAGCCGAAGCCCAGAGCTAGAGCATCACTAGGACTACCCAAATCACCGTGACTTTTCGATATTTAAATTATACTCGAAAACTATCGATTGTATATGTGATTTGGATAGCCCTAGTGATGTTCTANCCGAAAGTGAGCCATTGGTCATTGGTTGAGTGAGATTCGTAGTTCGAGAGTATGCCAGGGTCATCGGGAAGGGAAGCATCGAGGACCATGGTCAAAAAAATAAAGACGTCAAAAGGGAAACTTATACAACACTCTTCTGCTTTTATTTTGGCAAAAACTTGGTTTTGAGAACTAAACAACACTCACGATGAAAAATACAAAACAAAGCGAATGACAGATAACAGCTGTGACAATATTTTCAGTGTTGCCATGCTAATAATGTGGTGATGAATAAAAATAATCGATATAAAAATCGATTATTTTTTGATGACTCGAAATAAGGTGTATAATAAGGTGTGTGTGAAATAAGGTTTCATTTAGTTATAAATATTTTTAGTAGTGTTATTAGAATATTAAAAAGGTTTTATAAATGTCATTTTAATGAATACGTATTTAAAAAAATAATAATTATCATAGTCGAACAACAATCGATATGAATCGATTCTTACCGATAAGATTCATTTTGGCAACACTGAAATGAGTGTTAAAGACAGGAAGTTGTAATTATCACATAAAGTACTATTTAAATTGGATTTTTATAAAGGCACATTGATACAAAGTTACACTAAGTGAATACTTTAAAAATTAATTAAAAATTTTTGGCAAATTCATATTTTCATTAGCAGCTTGTCCACGCCAGGCCAGAAATGAACATTGTCCTTTTCATTAAGTATGGAGATGTCATTTTAATCCAGGGTTCATATATAAGGGGGCTAGAGTCCATATCTTTCAACAATATTCTTCAAAATACTATTATGTAAACTTGAAACGGTTGAAATCCAGAAAGAAGTCATAATTTCATATCTGAAATGTTTTCCAGGTAAGCACAACCTCGCTGCCACAGATAAAAGAGCCGGACCTGTCTCGCGAGCGGCTGTACATAACAGCAGCCGACTATCCCGCGCCCGAGCCCTGCAGCAAACACCCCTGCCGCTTCATGCTGCCAAGTTTGTATTAAAATTATTTTATACTCTGTCTGTCTGTTTCACAACTGCAACACACACACTGCAACTGCGGTCGATTGTAGTCAGCTGCTAGCACAGATTACCGCTACACGTGCTATCTGGAGTTACTTTTCTGCAGGTCGCTTCGAAACAGCACTTTTGACAAAATACTAATAATCTTAAAAAAGAAAAATTCTTAATTTTCTTTTTTAAGATTATTATTACGTTACCGTTCGGCTATCGTGGCATTATAGGATTTTAATGTGGATTTATTTTCCTGAGTATTACATACTTCACTTCATCTCATGCTAACTTAAAAAATATCTTGCAGAGGAGAACTCCATGACGATACTGCCGCTAACTGAAGTGCAGCGGGAGTTAGCAGAATATGCAGTGGAGAATGGAGCACACTGCATCGCCAGCGAAGAAGCGCTGCGATGTCTTATGGAGCTGGATAGGCACTGGTCGCTGGGCCTGTCTGTGTGCTCGGTTATGTCTATCGGTGAGTGTACTTCTTCTTCTTCTTTTTTGATGATGTTAGCAATACACGTCGAGGTCGACTTGATTTGTGCCATTTTCAAGTATACAATATGTAACAAAAACACCGTCCGATCCGAAAGGGTCATAAAGTAGCTTTAACAACATTACCAAAACAAGTATCAAAATTACATAATTAATAAAAACAATTTTTTTATCGATTTTTAAAGTCGATAAGTTTAGCAATGATTTACCCTACAACGGGGAAATTTTCAAAAAGCGTTAACACTCTGTCGCCGCGCGGCTTTTTTTTATACGCTGGAGGTCATGACCTTATGACGTCGCTACGCGTGCCGGCGCATCTCTACCCCTCCCGCGTACCCTCTACACTGCCGTTCGGATTGCCATGTAAGCTATTTTATTTTTGTAAATTTTGTATTTATTTTTCATGGGGTATTTTTTTTATAATATTTTATGAAAATTATTACACAAATGGAATCTTAACTCGATACCTATTAACACCTTAATGGATCGGACGGTGTTTCCGTTACATATTGTATAAGTGATACGAGTTACAAAATGAAATCAAGTAATAATATAATGAAGGATGATAGATGATACCCCTTCCTACCCTTTGAGTCTCAGTAAAGTTGTGATGCTTTACTGTGACGTGCTTACTGTGATGGACAACTTGAGAGAACCAGAAGAATCACGATGCACTGTTTTGCTTCACTTGCCCACACCCATGCACGTTCACGAACACTCAATGGTTAATAATCCACCATTATTACACATTAATAGTAGCCCACACACGAATTTGAGGAAATAAAACAAAACCGCTAACATGACGCTTCAGATTCCCGCCAAGAAGTCCTCGTGAGTGTACTTATACTATAAGAGCGCTTTCACATTTAGGCGACTTTAGCAGCGCGACAAACTGCCGCGCCGGTAATTTCATACTATGTGACAGCGGATGCCTGCCTTCACATTATAAAAACGCCGCTGCCGCGCTGCTGTCGCGCTTCTCACGCTTTAATGTGAAAGCGGCCTAAGAATACCTAAGCACACTTGCCTATCTTAAAATTGCCCATGATTGACGGCACCTTTATGTGACAGTGGACACAGCGCACAAGCCCTCTGCGAAAGCTTAGCCTCCGAAATTTAATTAAGGAGATAAAAAACGCGATATTTTTATTAAGTACTTACAGCTTGACGCTTCGGCAGTGTTGCCGCCATTAGCGTATCTAGGGTACTTTTCCAGGGGGCGTGGTCCCTGACATGCCATGTGATGGGCATTATTATCATAGCTCATGAGTTAGTACCACCCCGACTCCCCCGCTATACAGGGTGTTAGGTAAATGGGTATATGAGCCGACACTAGCCCATGTTAACATAAGCATATAAATGGTATGGTGAAGTCAGAATTTTGATATCATCATTTTATTTTTTTAAATTTTCATACAGAATATAATTGCGTACCATATCATGTGCCCCATGGTTAGTTACAAACACCGAGATCCACGAGGCCCTGCAGATGAACACAGTGTTGGAGGAAATACGATCCACTGCAGAAAGCTACCAAGAACGGCTGGCCCTGCACCCCAATGAGCTGGCTTCGGAACTGCTCCAAAAAAGCTATAGCAAACGCCTCAAGAGGCATGACATCCTGAGTCTGCACTGGAGAGCGTAGAAATACATAAAGAAGTAGTCTTCTCAGTGGAGAAGACACTTATCATGCAAAGGGCACTACAACTCATCCGCTCATAGTCGGGAGACTGATTGCAGAAGAATCACAAAAAAAAAAAAAATGATCATACAAAATAAATTCTATAAAATCCGATTTGTATGAAAATTAAAATAATTAAAATGAAAATATCCATTTTCTGACTTCACCATACCATTTATATGACCATGTTAACATGGGCTAGTGTCGGCTCATATACCCATTTACCTAACACCCTGTATACGCGCATGGTTGCAGCAGCCGTGGTCACAAGCAAACTGATGGTCTAATTAAGTTTCGTATGAAGACCACCCGGCAAAGTTCCGAATCAACTTTCCTTTTAATCCAGTGGCCGCTAAAACTGTCTACGACGAATGGAATAATACAACTTGTTATCTTATTATCTATATTTTATAGATGGCGATGGCATAACCACAGTGGTGATAGACAGTGAGTTCTCACTTCAAAGGGAGCCGGCGCTAGTCCGCACGCAGAAAGCCTTCCGGAAACTTCTGGAGTACACCCTTATTCCGTAAGTATTTTCCAAGTAACAGTTCTTTTTCACATTCCATTGAATATCAATTTTATAACTTATACACTCGCGAGCAAAAGTATGGAATCACTTACATGAAGTTGTTTCCACGCGATCTTGTGTACTAACGAATTTGTTAGTAACAAAAAAGGTGGCACCATTTTAAAGATCAAACTTTTAACTTTAAATTGATACTAAATTCATTTAAATCACATCAGTATTTAAAAAGATATCGCGGTTGATGTGAAGAAGTAAGGAAAAAGACATGTATCAACTGTTTGATACGTCGCGAGTTGCGGCCTATTTACCCCTTATAAAAGCACTTGTTTTCGGATTTTTGCTTTCACACGTTGATCCATACACATCTCCGCTTCTTTTGACACTTTACCTGGGATTCTACACCTTTAGAAGCAGCACAAATCGTTGCAATATTGCAAGAAGGGCTCAACCAGCGGGCTGTCGCACGTCAGCTCCACATAAGGCAGTCCTGGGTTTCGAAAGTTTTAGGACGCTTTCGGGAGACTGGTGGCTTTATCTCGAGATCAAGTTCTGAACAGCGCCGGTGCACATCGCAGAGGGATGACCGTTTTTTTCATGTCAACCCCTCTATGAAATCGTCATTTGACTGGTATCGAAGTCCAGCAAGAGCTCAAAAATGTTCGTAGGATAGCTGTAAGCAAGTGGTCAGTTCGTCTAAGATATAAGCAATAGAGTTTGACTCAAAAAAGGCCTGCCGCAGGCTCGAAACTGACGGCAGGTCACCGACAAACACGCCTTTAATTTGTTCGCATACATTTTGATGGGAAGGCGAGTAATGAAGGCGAGTTTTGTTCTCCAAAGAATGCAGATTGT